GTTTTACATTTATAAAAAAGCAGTTTCAAGCTCTCTTTACTCAACTCGAAAATCTAAAATACTTCTTAGATTCCAAAAAAAGCAACTTTCTAATATACGGGAAAAAATTCTTTATTTATTAAAGATTGTATTGCAAAAAAAATTGAAAATCCATCGTGTCTCTCTTTAAGAAAAATCAATATTTTTTTTTAATTTTGACTTTTTGGGCATTTCCACTAAAAATATATTATTTTTTATTGCATATATAAAAAATTTGAAAAATATCCAACAAATTTCATATGGCACATTTTTTCCATCTTTTAGTTTTAATGAAGAAAAACGCGTTTGAAAAGTACCTTCTTCATGTAAACTTTAATTTTAAAAAATTCATAACTCCCGTAACTTTCATCAAATCAAAAAAGAAAAAAATACGTATTCTCTTATTTTTCATAAAGATTCCAAAAAAAAATGTTCCAGGCAAAAAAAAATTTTGAATAAAAATTTTTCGTAGAATGCCCCATATAAACTATATTCCAATAGATTCGTTTTAAAGGTTTTTTTCCTACGTTTTTCGTTTTTTAAAGGTTTTAAAAGTTTCTACGTAGGAACACATGTTATTTACCAAGAGCAAAGTACGTAGGAACTTGTGAAAGAAACTTCAAAGGATATCACATAGTAACACACTAATAAAAAGTACTGTAGGTACGAACTAGTGATGGAAACTTCAAAGGATATCATGTAGGAACACACAGTACTTACCAAGAGCAAGGTACGTACGAACTTGTGAAAGAAACTTCAAAGGATACCACGTAGGAACACAACAAAAAGGTACGTACAAATTTGTAAATAATCTTATTAAGGTTACCATGCAGGAACCTATTTAGGTACACTTTAAGGGTACTGTGAAGGAACACTTTTATACAACATTTCGTAAAAAGGATCCCGTGAAGAAACACAGGTAAGATCATCTCTCGGATTCTACGTAGGATCTTACATTAAAAGTTGTTTATACAAGAACTTGTACATGATCTTACACAGGAAAAATCGTGAAATCCCATGTTGTAATTATTTTCAACATGTGGAAAACCATGATAGTTCACACACAAGTTCCTTACAGGATCCTTTTGTAGAAGATCCTATGTGGTAAACCACATATGAACATACGAGGGAACTTACGAAAGAACTCGAAATAGGATTCTATATGTGTTCCTTCACAGGAATTTTCAATAGGGATTATTGTATAGCGTACGTAGAGTAATAGCAAACTGTTAGGATGTTAGTTCGTAGATTTTATCCTCCTCATGTATTAAATTTATTTATTTTATATTTGCGTGTTCTCGAATTACTATTCGTGTAAAAGAAGCACTCTTACGTTTTCTTTCTAAAACAAATAATCTTCGTTTTTTTAACTTCAACATACTTTCTTTACATATTTTATTTTAAACACTACATTTACAATACAATCTAAACACAATTTATAAACAGTGAAGAATGAAAAAATATAAAATGTATTTTCATTGCAAATTTTATACTGTAAAATAAAAGTTCTAAAGTGACTCAAGCATAGCGACATCATATATACCATTTCCTTACTGTATTTTTATTCTTATTTAAGCAGTAACTATTCATGGGCAGCAGCAATGTCTTTCATTATAAATCCTGATGGAGTTTCGGATCCAAATGCATATATTTATGCGTTTACATTCACAACACCAGCTAGGTCAATATCATCATCAAATGTTGTTTCTAAAATGGGTTATGGCATCTCTAAAAGCGTCGTCAAAGGAAATGGGTGATTAGTTTTTTCAAAATTTAAATTAATACTATAGACAGACAATGGATACGTATTGCAAAAACGATTTAACAATGAGAAACTGTTTACAACTTCGTTTAACAATGTCAAGAGTTTGAAAAATACACAGTCCGACATATAAAAGTTTCCGACTTAGGGTTCAGAGTAGTATTCACATGTATTTTGGGAAGCTGAATATAAATCTGAAGTCTGTTTCGCTCCATCATGTCAGAATATTTTCCTAACCTCAGAAAACCTCAAATTTTTAGTGGTATACGAATTTTTTAAACATTAATAGTTTTAAGACTGTCTTTTATGGAAAAAGAGAAAATAAGCAAGCGCTATGATTTATACATGTTGTTGGAATTACATGTCAAAATTTCAAACTTTTATTATAGCGCCTATGTCTATTATAACGCATTTTACAGATTTTTGAAAACTTTTTGTTTCCTTTATTACCTATTAATTAAGAGTTAAAAAACTTTCAATGACCCTTCACCTTCTTTAATAAGGGTCCACGCTCGAAAATTCTGGTAGTGCGAAGTTTCTACTTCTCTCTGTTGAAACGAATGAAATAACATTTTTATTACTCAGGTAATAATAGATAGAATTTTCTACCTGATTAACATATTTAGGTACTGATTTCATGGTAAGGAAAATGGATAGCAAAATCCCCCCCCCCTATCATATAAATCTCAAACGTTTACTATATGTTTTTAGTCCTATATCGCGGACGTAATGTATAAAAAATAATCGGATTCACTCGAAACTACTTACTTGGGGGTTCTTGGGATAGTTGATTACCAATCTAAAGTTATACTTTAAAAATCCGAAATGGTTTATCTAATATGGCGGAATTTTTTTCAAATTTAAAGAATTCATTTAAAACTCTTAAATCGGCGTTTTTTAACGTCGATCACGAATTTCATGTTAACTTTTAAAAATTAAAAATGACGCTTAACGGAATCCCACTGCAGCTATGATTTGCAATTTAGTCTGCAAGAAACCTTCAGCAGAGTAACTGTGTTTACTCGTGTTTCAAGTTATACTTTTTGTATATATTATCAAGCATTTTATTTTATTTGAATAAACATATTTCAAATATATCAAACAAATTTCAGTGTTTTATTCTGTGGAAATTAATAACCCAACAGGCCCTGCAAGATTCCACTGTGCCACACTATAAATTTGTGAAAATTTTTCAAGTTTGACAATCAGCGTGTACTTAAAGTGAAGTGTCTTTGTTAATTGGTGAAGTGTCAGAATAGCAAATATCATTTATTCATGGCTGATAAGGAAATTATAGACTTTACAAAGCTTGATGGGACAAATTACTCTAGGTGGAAGTTTGGAGTTAATTTTCTTTTACAAGCAAAAGAACTCACAGGATTTGTATATGGCACAGAAGATGAACCAAATAAGGCAGACGCTTTAGATGACTGGAAAAAGTGGATGCAGAAATCGTCACAAGCAGCTGTGATTTTAATTTCTTCAATAGAAAAATTTGTACAAGTTTTAAGCCATGCAAAATTTTTTCACGCGGGCTTCTGATGACGTACAGTCAAATGGATTAGCTGTAGCTGCTGTCGTTAACTGAGAACCATATTATCCACCTAAAGGTAGATAGAATAACATAACGGAAATTCTTTTATTACATATGTACATTTAGACAAAAACAAGCATCGAATTAATACATAATTATATAGCTTTATTACAACATACATTACAATCAAGTTTGCTTGCCAAAGCTAAAAATATTACTTTTCCACAAAAGCTTACAATATAACAAGACGAACAGATAACTAAATTAACAATAAATCAAGTTTTATTCAATATAAAAAAAAAAATTTATGGAATGGAGTTTACTTACTTCAGATGACACTGAGAATAATAAAAAATAATACAAATTACATAAATAGAATTTATTTAAAATAACATAGCAATAACTAAATTTGTTTATTTGTCTGCGAGATAATTTAAAATTGGATTTTTTGTTTTGACAGTATATAACCAAGCAAAAATTATCTTAACCATCGAAGCAATTCGTGCCGTTTTCCACAAACCAAAAAAATCACTTGTAGATTAAGAGCAAGATTTTTTTTCCAATCATAGTTGCTCGTATGGCTCGGTTGGTTAGGTATTGCGTTTGGGTTCATCGAACCCGTGTTCGATCCCCGGTCCCCCCAAATTTATTTTCTAAACTAATTTCGTTATTTAAAGTCTCCAAAAAATTATTTAATCAAGTATGAGTCCCTAAATTTAAGAAATTATTTTTTTTTCATTTTTGAAAACTAAAATTTCTTAAATCAATTTATTTATTAAACTGATTTAAATTAAAGATATAATTATTTTAATTATATTATTATTAATAAAATTAATACTTTATGATAAGATAATTTTTAAACCCAGCTATCTGGGCGAACATTTAATGAATATTTTTTTTAAGCTTCAATCAAGTTTCGAGCTGAACCTTTAACGAATATTTAATTTTAAGCTTCACTCAAGTTTCGAGCCGAACCTTTAACGAATATTTAATTTCAAGCTTCACTCAAGGTTCGCGCTAAACATTTGCTCAAGTGCGGACATTTAAATATTTACATAAGCTTTACTTAACCTTTATTCTAAATACTGCGAACATGGAAAATAAATATTTAATAAATATTTATTAAATATTCGGTGCTATGTGGGCAAGTAAGATTTTATCTTTCCCATCTAATTTACATAACTACTGTTTTGAAAATAAGGATTCAAACGATAATAATTCTAAATATCCTTCGAAACAAATGTCAAAAAAAATAAATTCGGATTTCGCTCCATATAGCGCTATATATAGAGCAGCGCTATGTAACTTTGGCGCTTATCGTAGTCCCACTGCTGATCAAATTGGCCCAGAGTTTGATTGAGCTAATCCGCCTATTTTTATTGGTGAGCCTTTGATGTCAAATAGGAATCTTTCTTTCGTATTATCTGCAGAATCCATACATATTGTAATGTGATGGTATTGATTAAATAATTGCACCGTTCCACTATAAAAACTTTTTACACTTTCATTATAATTACATACACTTTTTACTACTTGAGTTAAAATGTAGAAATAGCAATTATTATAATTGTAGGTACAGCTAACAGTTCTTAGAAATTAATTTGAAACATCATGAATATTTAAATACTCGTTATAGATTCGTAGAAGGAATAAGGGTGCTTACGAGTGAGACTTACACTCATATAACTTTTTGTTAACATTGTGTAAAGACCGAAGAGATGGACATAGTAAAGAATCCATACTACAATATTATTAGATATGTTATAATTTTAACAGGACAAAGTCAATATCATTCCAAGTGGCTTAACATATGGATCAAATCCTTGTTTTTTCTTGTTATTTTATCTTTTATAATTACTCAGGTAATATAAAAAATTTTCATAAGTTGTTTTAAATATATTATATACATTAGTAAAATTAGATTGCAGGAATGATAAAAGTTTTTGATAATATTGACTTGGTATTGATGTGCATTCCACCAACATGTTACGCTTCAATGGGTGCAACGATTTTTATAAATAACATTTTGAAAGTAAAACAAGTAATTAGATAAAATAGTTTAATTCTAATTTTAAATATCAGTGCAGACAAGAACGTACAATTAAATTTAATATACAGAAAATATTTCAGGGGTGGCCTGTTTTACAAGATCTAAAAAGAATTTTGCATTTTTTGGAAAGTAAAGAAAACAACTGAGATTCGTATAATATTAAGCATATTTTAAAACACATTCGTTTCTCATTATCGCAAAGTTTCCTCTTCATCAAATTGATAAAATATTTGTTGAGTTATAGAATTTTTAAATTTAAATCCCTATTTAAAATAGGAAGTTTTAAAAAATATTAAATATTATTTTGATTAAATTTATATATAATACAATTGTTTAAAATGTATTATATAAATAATATAATACTTTTAAAAACAAACATGACTTTTCTAATAAAAGTATATACACAGATTTCAATTTTCACAATAAAATTAATTGTTTAAATAAACACTATGCATAAATGGACATAAGTGGTTTACTTACTTAAAAATATGAAAGAAAAAGTTACAGATCCCTATTGAAAATCCCTGTACAAGATCTTGTACAGGAAAATTTATATGTTCAGCAACTGATCTTGTACCAGTTCTGGATGTACATTTTCTTACACCAGAATTTGAAACAAGTTCATGTATCAGATCTTGTTCAGGAAAATGTTCCTGTGCATATTCTTGTGCAGGTTCATGTACAAGTACTCACACATAAAACCGTACATATTCTTGTACAAGTAAATTTAAAAAAATTTGAGATTTCAATAATTTATAATCATTAAAACTCTTCACTTTTGCATATTAAAAGTTATTGCGCAGCTGTAAAGTCCTAAGAAAACTACTGCGCAGCCTTTAAAGTTTTTAATTTTTACTAAATGAAGACATAAATCAACATATACAAGAAGATGAACCAAATCTGGTGCAAGAAAATGTACATGAACCTGCACAAGAACACATACATTTTCTTGTAAACAAATATTAAATAAATTTTCTTGTACTCTAAAACTTGTTTCAAATTCTGGTGCAAGAAAATTTTCAGCTACTGAACATGAACATTTTTTTGTACAGGATCTTGTACAGGGATTTTCAATATGGTTACGTTGTTTGTTCCAAATGAGCTATTGAGCTCCAACCGCCTTTCAGATTTGAAATATTTTAATGAAAAGTTCTTGAAATATTGTTACAGACAGAAAAATATCAGCTTCTGAGAAAATATTGCCATGCAATTTTCTGGAATATTACACATGAACACTCCTGCAATATTTACGAAATATTTCACAGAAAGTTACAATTATTTTAAAATATGAAATCTATCGGTATTTTCTAAATTTTTAACACCTTGGGATCCTAGAAAATTAAAAACTACTGCGCAGCTGTACAGGACAAGAACTGAGATCGACCAGTGCGCATCATTTAAGTTGATTTCCAAAATATTCCAATAAAATATGACAAAATTTCATGGCAATATTTCCTTAAGGGTGGACATTTTCCTGTTAGTAACAATATTTCAAGGATTCTTCATTGAAATATTTCAAATCTTTCATTGAAATATTTCAAAAATATTTAGAAAATATTACGTGTTGTGTGGGTAGTAATGACATTGAAAATCAAGTTAAAAATTTTAATTTACATATGTGACGTTCCATGAGGAAAGGGACCTTAGCTGCAAAAAAATGAAAATTGAGTTTTTGATATCAGTCGATAGATCTTGAGTTGCTCTTTCAGATACAAAAGTTAAAAATTGTACTTTTCTATTTAGTTTTTTTGTTATAAAGCATTAATCATGACCATGTTAATCGCGTTCCAGCACGGACTACAGAAACCATCCCCACCACTACTACTACTAGTATACTTGTCCTAAGTGTGAGCTGTAGGAACGATGTAGTAGTAAGGTGGTGGGGCTGATTTTCGATGGAGGGTCTCAACCAATCAGGGACGCTCTACTTTAAATACCTTTTCTGGAAAATGCGTCTATTGCAGCTAAGGTCCCTTTCCTCATGGAACGTCACATATATCTAAAAATATTTTTTTTCTTTTTAATTGTTTTTAATACTTTGATTTCCACTAACCATGACAACATATATTGACAAAGTTTTGACTAAATTCATTAACTTCAAAGGCTTAACTCAAATATTTCAAGATTTTACCCTCATATAAGCAGATTGAAACTTTACTAAAAGTAATTTCATAAACAGATATTTTAAATATCTTTAAAAAATTATTAATTTTAAAGATCGATCGATAAGACTTGTTGAATCTAGTAAAACTTGCCATGCCTTCAATACACGTTAAGATTTAACGCTTTTGCACAATGGACCAGGAACGAAAAAAAGTGTCCAAAAACCAATATGTTTTTAAATCTACATTCAGTGAAGCATAGATGTAATAAATAATCAGTTTCCTGACTGCCCAGTAGGCAAAAAACCATGTTCGTTCCAAAAACGTTTTTAGAACGTTTCGGATAAGCCAAAAAATGTTCTACAACATTATTCCCAGTGGGTACCGGGACGTCTTGATGATAATGTCTCGAAGACATCATAAACACATACAAAGAACTTCTTTAAGACGTCCTATGTATGACCAGAAGACGTCTAAAATACATCCGAAAAAGACATTTGGATAGGACATCTTAAAGACGTCTTTAGCATTTAGAATTTTTTTTTCTTCAGAATATTTTTTAAGTTAAAACACATATTAATTATTTATTATCTGACTTAAATTTTGACTTTATTTTGATTTTTGTTATATTTGTACACGCTTATACAGAAATCAGGAATGAAAAAATTCACCCGGACCTGGGATCGAACCCGCGATACGTTAGGTTGAAATTTTACGCCTTAAGCGTCTGAGCGATCGGAGACAGATATAATCCATTACAAAGTTTACGAACTTATTTTTCAATGAAATGAATTGAACTTAAGAAATTTTAATAACATTTATCTTAAACAATTTCGATGTGTACGTTGAACTTCAAAAATAAAATATAAAAATTATTTTTATGAAAAATTTTCTATTTTTAAAATCTGAAAAAGACGTCTTTTAGACATGATAAAGACATCTTTATGAACAAACATAAGACCTTTTTTGGACGTACCTCAGACATTATATTTACGTTATTAAGATATACCATACGAGGCCAAATTAAAGACGTCTTTAAGACGTCCAAAACACATCCTCAAGACGTCTTAGAAACAAGTGTGCCCATTGGATTTGAACATCCATTTTCTTAAAATGTTTTAAAACATTATTTGGCAGACATGAAACGTTATAAAAACGTTTTTAGAACGAACATGGTTTTTGCCCACTGGGTGCTATCATATATGGGGCGAAATTACTGAAGTGTACATACGTTTCCTTTAAATCGTACAAATTCCTGTCTTTATATCGTCGTATGACTAATCTTCCTTTAAATTTTGTCTCATCGGGTTCCCTAAAGTCTCCCATCTCATGACAGCATGAAACGCCGGCGTGAAGCGGAAAAAATGCGAACGAAAAAGATAAACATATCTCACTATTTCTTCGGTTCTCATGCTTTTAAGGCTTTCATCCCTGTGTGCAAAGTACAGAACAGTTCTGCAACTGTTTCATAAAAAAACTGGTCAAATGCGAGTTACACTCGCTTACCTAGAGTTTCTTTTACGATTATTTAAATGTTTATATATATTCTATTATGAAACGAGTATTTATGCAAATTAGGTAGAGAAAGACATTCTTATGTTATATTCCTTGGTGTGAGAAGGAAAGGTATGCATTACCTGAGGCGATACCAAAAATTTTACCTGAGGCAATACCAAAAGCGTTACATTAGACGATACCTCTTCAGTTTTAGACATTCTCTATAGCTTTCCATGTGATAAAGGGAGAAAAAAATTATTACCTGGGTCCTCAGAATTACTTCTCATTAACAAAGGGTATATTCTTCAATAATGGTATTGTTTGTAGTAGTTATTCTGAGGGTCATATTATACAAATTTTAAAAGAATAAAGCATTTCATTTAATATTTCTCACTTGCAAGTTAAGATAGTCGCATACTACATATCAATAGTCACTTTTTAACCCTTTGGCGGTTCATGACGTCTATACACGTCATGGAATAGATGGTCTGAAACTGTCAATAACTCTCAAACTATTTTTTTGTCCAATAATTGAACGAAACTCACGGCTGACTTTTAAATACCTTTAAAATATGTTAGAACACCAATAAATATTTTTCTTATATTTTGAAAATTTTTTTAAGACGCATCTTTTGAGCGAACATTCTACTGTTATTTTATCCAAAGTTATTTAATTTTTTTAAAATTAGTGTCTAGACTTGTAGAACTAAAATTTAAGATATTTGAAATATATGTTCAAAGTGAATGCAGGTATGTCTGCTACATTGGTTACATACCTGGCAGTTTTCACAAATATTCTGAATAAATGTTTCCTCTATCAAAATTCAAAAAAATGATAACTTTTAATGTTATCAGCCATAAAAAAAGGATAGCTAATCGGTTTTTCTGTTTATTTTTGAACTGATTATCTTCCTGCCTGCGAATCTATCTATCCATTTGGCTATATGCTTTGGTTTCTATTTTGTCTGATAAACTACTTATCTATCAATCTATTGCCTATTTGTCTAATTGCCTATCTGATCTCTCTAGCTGCAGATCTGATTTATCTGTCTACCTATCTTTTAATTCATTCTTCTGGCTATCCTCATATATAATAAAACTTATATGTAACTGAGAAATGACTAGCCCTCGCAAGTACTCTACTATTTCGCCTGAATATGGAAATATGTGCGGCATGGAGAAACGCAGAAGTCACAAGAGTAAAATAACGTGTTTCTTGCGCATTCTCAGACCAGCTTTGATTCAATTGTTGTCTTTCTCAGTGCGGCAAAAGCCGACTGACTATCCTCGAAAATGTTATTTCTGATTCCCAATTTTTCTTTTTCAAGAGACCTAATGGGGCAGTTCATAAATTCACAGACTTTCGCTTGCCAAAATGTGGTACATTTACCT